AATACTTGTGACAAGTTCATCGTACAGTGGACCATAGATGCGCAGGACAACTTTTCTCCTCTCTTCTTTCCCAACTCCATAACTTTCGGGGAGGGAACAAATGTATAACTTGTTGCTCAGGCCACCTCTAAAAAAAAAGCACATCATTTCATGCCATGATATACATACATACATACATACATACACACACACACATATATATATACATACATACATATGTTTATTGCAACTCCCAAGCTGGGTTTTTCAGTTACAAAACCTACATTAAAATTATTGTAATATTATAGTAACATTGTATTGGCCTAAAAATATATATAAGTGAAAACTAAGGCTAGTATAATATAAATACAAAAGGCCAGTATACGTTAAAAACCCTAGTGAACTAAAACAAAAATTAGACAAGAATAGAAGATTGAAATGATTCATCTGTGTGTGACATTTCCACTAAGGAGCGCATTCGGTAGGTGGAGCCTAAAGGCCTTTACATTCTCAGCTGCTTTTAAGTCATTTGGGAGGTTATTCCACAATTTGCATCTGCGATATGTGAATGCATGTTGCCCAGAGGACATGTGGCATTGTGGGATGTGGAGCAGATTACATGATCTTGTTACCCTACTATGAATATGAGATCATGGGACAAACATGTTAGCCAGATATTCAGGAACTAAATTATTTACACATTTAAATACCATTACAGCATCGTTGAAATAAAGTCTCTCCTCAACAGTGAGCCAATTAAGAGATTTTATGCCATAGGAGATGTGGTCAAATTTCTTAAAACCTAATACAATACAAAGTTCTGCACTAGCTGAAGCTTCTTTATATTTCTTTGAGATGTGTTAGCCCATACAGTTGAACAATAATATATTGTACTAAAAACAAAAGCGTTCATCAAAAGTAAAAGGGTTTTCCTGTCCAAGATGTGTTTAATCCTGCTAATATGTACTAGTTTGAAATTACAGTTAGAAGTAGTTTTAGCAACACAACATGATCGTTATATGTTAAGGACTGGTCAATGTAGACTCCAAGGAGAGCTGAAGAGCTTTGCAGCACCCTTTGCTCAAGAAGCCTAGACTGGCTTCGCCAATGTACTTGGTTACACTTAGGAAAATCTCTCTCGTTAAAAACGTGTAAAAATAAATGCACAATTCAGTTTTAACAAATCAATTCTGGAAGAAAATTCCTGTGAATTTACTAATAGTTTGGATACAAGTAAACGCATTTGGATTTTCTATAAATAAACAATTATTAAAGTAGCTGGTGTGTATCTTGGAGAGGTTCCACGGGGATGGCTTTATCACAAAGAATGTTCAATAATTTATTCACGGCTACGTGCTTCCTTAAACGCACTCGTCGTAAGAACTCCTCTCTCCGTAAAAATGAAAATAATAGACTGCTAACAGATCAAAAGTAAAGGTGAAGAAAGCAACAATTTTCCTTCTAAATTTAACCAAGAGACGCGTGTAACTTGACCCTCGTTAGACTTCGACCTTTGAATAAAATGTTTCGCCAAAGACACCAGCTTGTAGCTCCAATACCTCGCCTGTGATCCAGTATGTAATCAATTGTTTTAATATAGGCTTCTTCAACAGCAAATAGAGACCGCAGAATGAATGGTTGATTGATTATGCACACACTTACAAATCGGCGTTGGTACTTATTAAAGGAAAGACTTCATAAAAAACAAAAGCATAAAAGCTCGTACCCTAACACTTGAATGGAAAAATCATCTATGGATATGTTTCTCCAGCTTCCTCCTAAGTACTGATTACACCACTGGTGCGCCTTCTTTTTGAAATCAAAGGTAATTTCATTGGAAACGCTAGCCATGGACACCAGAACAGTTGTGTCAGCCTTTAGCAGTACGTAATAGACCAACCCTCTCCTCCCACAGGGAAATCAGGGGGTGCTATTTGAAGCGCAGGCGCACAACGTCCTTTCTCTTCATCCCCTTTCCAAAATGGTGGGTATCTGAGGATTAAAGTTATCCAAATCCATCGTCTTTCATCGCCGTCAATTCTTTAAACTATGTAGTATGTCACGGGAAGATTGAAGCATTCTTTAATGTTTATTCGTAACGTCCCCGTTTTGTGTAACTTTGGGGTATTTTTACCGCCTCTCATATCTTTGGTTTTAGACTGCTCGGCTAAAGAAAACTCGAAAACTGCGGGGCCATGTGAGTCACGGTCATGGTCGTGTTGGTGAGTGAAAACGTTTGAAGAAGTAAATGGCAGCCATAAAACATCAGCAAGTCATGTACTCTGTGTATTTAAACCCTGGATTTTTTTTCAAATTTTGGACATCACTTATACAGTTGGAGTAGAAAATAGTGCTATGTTTTCACGTCTAATGGTATTCGTATACTCGTTGTGTTAACCTCAAATTTAATCAAGCTCCATGACTCTTTTTTATGAATTCTCTTTAATCGAGTTCTGTACAGGCGAGACATTTTTAAAGTCGATTCTAGTCAATGTGCAACTTCGTAGAACATTAGTCATTGTAAGACTTGGAGAACATAAACACTTGATTTAACATTAATCCAGATCGTGTACTGGCTTGATAATCCTGCAATTTATAGAATTGTTCCTATATTAAGTTTCATAAGCCTTTTAAATATTTTTGCTGGTCGAATTCATGGAAAGACTCTGGATCTGAGTCAATGTAGCCGTAGGAAGTGTTGCAGTTTTTACTGAATTGTATGTGATTATATGCTACTATTTACAATTTTAATTTTACATATGACTCCATAAGACCTTTTTCTCGTGGTTTGTTTGTAGGAAAGCATAGAAAGCATCCTGGTGGCCGTGGAAATGCAGGAGGACAGCATCATCACAGGATTAATTTTGATAAATAGTGAGTTCATTTCTCAATGGAGGCTTGCCCTGTTTGATTTCACCCTGACTCTTTGGAAGTCAAAAAGTCTCTGACAGTGGCACCTTTGGGCCAATAAAAATTAATTTCATTCTTTGAAATGACATAGAGTACAGAATAAATCAGATTTAATGTCCAGTTTACCAAATGACTTCATTTTGTTTGTTATTTTTTGATAATAATTTGCTGATGTATTCGAAAACTGAGATTCATCTCGTAATTGATAAGTGACTTTAAGAAGCCCAATTACATTGGGCAATTTTTCTTGTAACTTTTATGGCTATTGTGTTTGACAGTTGACATAGCCTGAAAAAAATGTTTGGAGTTTTGAGACACAACTCTCAACACTGTTGGATGTGGTGAAAATGTTGGAAGCTTGTAGAATGCAAATTGAAAGTGTTTACATGGGTCTTGTTTCCTCCCATTGTTATTATTCTACTAATTGAAAATAATTTTGTTATACCAGTAATTGTAGTGGAGGTCTATCTCAACACTTCCAACATTTGTAATGAGTGGAGGCATGTTGAATGCATATTTAAACCAACTTGCACCAACCAGCATCTGACAAGTTCAAACTAAAACATAAATGTGAAAGGTGTGGATGGTTTATTTGACATGGACTAAACAGGTTTAATTATTCACTGTACAGCCATCCAGGATACTTTGGTAAAGTGGGTATGCGTTACTTCCACAAGACAATGAACAAATATCACAAACCAACTGTGAATTTGGATAAACTGTGGTCCCTTGTCAGTGAGCAAACCAGAATGTATTACAAGGACAAGACTGATGGACCAGCACCAGTTATTGATGTTGTCAGAGCTGTAAGTATCATAAGACGTCAATATTTCATTGAAACCCATCCACTTACAATAGTTGATTATCAATTCTTCCTTCCATTATTATTAGTTAAGGAGAATTTAGTTTATATCTAGATATCACCCCACCTAGCTAATAAGTCTCTGTACTCTGATATGATTTCTGGAAATGGTTCTGTTGAATAGATGATCATGTTGATCATCTCAAAGTGGTAAAGTGTTTATAATGTACAAAGTGGTCCTTTGAGTATTTGGCTGCACATAATGCCAATGTAAGAGGTGAACTTAATTTCATAGCAGACTATTTGATGTATGATTTCTCAAAATTTTTTCAACCTAAAAATGTTTTTAGTCAATCTGTAGGAAATATATATGTTTTTTTTTTCAAGTGTGGTAAATTTGACCATTATTTTCTGTATCCACATCCCATATTTCTCCATCTGCATTATGAACAAGTGGACTAAGGTTGGAAGGAAAAAGAGAGAAAACATAACACAGAATTTTGTTGTTGATTTCTGTTAGGGTTACTACAAGGTTCTTGGCAAGGGTCTTCTTCCCAAACAGCCAGTGATTGTTAAAGCAAAATTTTTCAGTCGCAGAGCTGAAGAAAAGATCAAGGAAGTTGGAGGCGCTTGCGTCTTAGTGGCGTAAAAATTCATGCAAATGTACAAAATAATAAAAGTTTTCTGGTTGGAGTCTCTGTTTCCAGTTACTTTTAAGTCAGATCAAACCTCCCCTAAATTCTCTGTTCTCTGTTGCATTGTTCTTTGACCCAAACAAAAACTATTGTTACAATAGCTAATAGAATGCTATGTCATCCAAGAGGAGTATGAACTTACAATTTGTCGAAACTGGACCATAGCAATTGAAATTTTCAATCATCAGAAGTTTTGACAAGACTGTGAAGAGTGAATTTTGCGATTGAAAATCTGCAGTCCTGATATAGTTTTT